GTTACACATACCTTTGTTGAAGTGTAACCACTTGAAAGTCAATAAGTTGACATAACCTTGATCATGTTGTTCATTTTTCTCCTGATGTTTGTATCTTTCAGGATCGTCGTTCATGGAGGATAATTGAAACTGCTAAGCAGGTAGTCGTGCTCTACTTTTTCCAAGAGAAAGACATTGATGAGAATGACACTCCATCCAGTAGTTTAAGTTTTTCCTGGACGATTGAATGTTCTGTGATACTTTTAAATTGTCGTTTGGATCAACCAAGTTTTCAATATTTAAAACAGTTGTATCTTTTGATGTTTACTAATAAAAGACTATATAGGTTCAAATGTGAGATTTGACATTTAGCTAAATATTATCATGTCTCATATCCACTTCAGTTTTACACTCCTTCCGCTCCTTTTTCACTAATTCATAGTGACTTATGGGGGCCCTCTCGAACTCCGAGCTACATAAATAAACAGTAGTTCCTTACCTTGATTGATTAACACACTCGGATGAATTTGGGTTTGTATCTTAAAAAATAAATCGGAAGTTGCGGTCATCTTAAAAAATTTTCACTTTCATTTTGACTCAATTAAAAAAATCAATTTAGGTCCTTCGAACTGACAACAACCCTGAATTTTTTAATTCTATGTAAAAAGAATTCTTGGTAAGTAAGGTATCATTCATCATAGCTCAATTCCCAAAATTCTATCAAACCCCTTTTTAATATGTATGTAAACCCCTTTTTCCTATCAATGAGAATCATCCTGCTTAATTCCCAAAATTCTACACAAACTAATTTAAAAATCAAATCTAGACTTCTAAATAAAATATGTATTAAGTTTAAATAAAAATAGTCCTAAAAATCAAACATAGTAAAAATGAAATAAATCCTATAAAAAATCTAAAAAGTATTATAAAATCTAAATTTTAATGCATGTATGGTACTATATCAGTTAAAATTTTCAGGATTAGTTTACTACAAAAACAGCAATGAACACAAAGTTATTAATGATGAGAAGAGCCTAGTTTATAGTAAAATCTCATCTAAATCAATTGTTCAAATAAAGTTACTTGCTGAACAAAGGTAAAGAGTTCTTCACTTGGTCATCTTCAATCTTGTAATATTAGACCAACGGGAGAACTTAATGATAGCATTGCTTGGCAAGAATTAACTATAAATAGAAGCCTTTTGTTAAGAAGGAAATAACATAAATTTTAAGGTTGAATTAAGAAGGGAAGAAATTTGGAAACATGGACATAAAAACTACCTCTGAAATGGTCCAAGGCCTCGGCTTCCGACAACCAAAAGATCAGGTCTAACTCTTTTAACCTCACTGCAAATTAGCTCCTTTGGATCGCCTTTCTTGATCCATGCTTCACAAGGAATCTATAACCGTTCAACCAAACAAAGTAGAAATTAAACCACCCCATTATATGTTCTCCTAATAAAGAGAAAAAAAAGTTACCAACAAACTTGTTTGCCCTCAAAAAGCAGATTATGACAGAGATATAAGATTTCACTATCTATAGTTTACCCCATACTGATGACAACGTTTAACGAAGAACTCGAGCAGGTGAAGCCCTCTAATCTTTTCCTTCTCGTTCATACTGTGAAAATCCTCAGGTGATGCATATATGCTATCCATGTCTTCAAATGCTGCTCCCCAAGATAAATAAAGAAAAGCATAAGCAACAAACAATGTCTACCAATCGTAGAGTCATCAAACAGAAGTTTTGCTAGAATCAAGCATGAGCTAGCCAATACCTAAGCAGTTTTACTAATAAAATCCCGGCAATTAACCTCCATGAAGACTTAGTCCTAAAACTAAAACGAAAATTCACGCAAAACCAAAAGAAAATCACGCCGATTGAAATGAAACCCTATATAGTAGCGCATGAATGAATAAAACTATAGTCCAAAAAGGGAACCGAAATGTTCCTAATAAATAAGATGGGGGACGAGAACAGCACCGTCTTCGTCAGGGACCTGGACGTGGAGGAAGAGTAAGCGGAAGCCGGCAGCATTGGATTTAATGAGCTTCGACACCGTCCACTCGAAAGCTGTGTTACAGCTGATGGATGGGTGAGGGTAACCTTTCATCGACGACTCGTTCACCGCCATCATGATCCTCGTCGGCTCCGACGATTGCGACGCCATTGCCCAACTCTCTCTCTCCCTCTGAGAATTTTGCTCAATAAATTGGCTTGCGCGTAAGTGATAAAAATTCCATCTTGGTTTGTTGCCCTTATCCCACTGATCCTGAACGGGAAAAGAGCTTCGTCAAAACACCATTTTTTTAAATTTGTTTATAATAATAATATAATCTATGAGATAAGAGGCCAAAAAGTCTTGATATGTTATCCAAAATGATTTTTCGGCTCACAAGAGCTTCTTCGATATAAATTTTTTTTTATTCTTTTTTCTTTTAACTTTATCAGGCACCGGCTTCAATCAGAACTGGAGGAACCTTATTGGGATGGGTGGCTCCGTACTGCGTTGAAGTAATTGCTTATTCGAGAGCTGCAATGGTTTTTTTAAAGAAATGATTTTTTTTTTTACTTATGAGAAAGAAACTCCCATAATGCGTATTATTATAAAAAATAAGATTAAATACTCATATTATACATTTACATAAAAAATGTCTCAATGTTGATTTTGAGGAGATCTAACAATCCAGAGGAGAAGAGTATGACGAGAAAGGGCCCACGGCATAAGAACATGAGCCTCGCTTATGCAACCGAGTACAGCCGTTCGAGCTAAAGCTAGCGTGACCAAATTCAACCGAGTCATGAAGAGGAGAGAGATGACCAAATGATCCGAGTTTAAATCGTTCAATAAAAAATGAGATAAAGAGACATCGGAGCCAACCACAACCGAGAAGTCATCCCGACTGAAGAACTAGCCTTTAAACAACCTCAACCATACCGTGAACGTCTAGAAGTCCTCTCATATGTTGTCAAGTGTTGACAACCAGATAAGATAAGAAGATCAGCAATGTCGACCAAGCCTAGTTGATTGAATCAATCATATCGACCCAAAGCCAATTAAACTCAACTGATTGAGCCATAGAGCAGTCAAGCAATGGGTTCATATGTGTAAAATACTAAGAATACTATATACAACCTCTTTAAACAGGGGCAAAAATATAATATATGTTTAACATCTTTAAAGCATGGACAAAATTGTAACATCATGACATTGTGTTTTCTCCCCTATAATTAGAATAAGACATGAGTAATACAAAGTTTTACTATTTGCACCCCACTCTCTCTTCCTCCCTCCTTCTCTCCCTCTCTCTTTACGCTATATTCTTTGGGTATGATTCACGAACAAATCAAGTGTCAACAATACATAATCTTAGATATTTTTTTTAGAAATTTAGGATGGCGGTATCTCACTAATCTCAATATTGAACATCAACTTGATGGATTAGTGTTAGTGGATTTGAGAATTTAAATCCATTGATGGAGATAACTTTATAAGTGTTATAAGGATGGGTATGTTATTGTTAATATTGGAGGAGCTGGTTCTTCTGAAATATGTACACTATAATCTATTATCCATTTGATCAATACATAATTTTGATTAACAATAATGATAATCTTGAAAAGAGGACCAAACCTACTATCCAATAATATGACTAGGAAGGTTGATTATTGGGCACTCACAATAGAACGCTTTATTTTAAAATTTTAGTTTGATAAATATCAAATTAGATTCATCAAAGAAATATGTGAAGTTTTACATGGGAGAGGCATGGATGTCCCCATTTTGGAAGAGACAATAGTCCACAAATACTACCATGTTAGTAGGTTAGAGCAAGATATTATCTTATTGCATAACTTTAGGCATGTTGAATCTATATTTGATCACAATACTTTTGTACTTTTCTTCTATAATATCTTTAATTTAAGAGGGTGATCCACTTAGATGAGGAGTAATAATTGAGTTTAACGAATGAACAAGTTAATCCTAGATAAAGAGCAAAATAATATTCTCCCAAGAGCTTCATACTAATAATGATGCACAACCCAAAATAAATAACCTCTCCAAAAGTTGCATAAGAAAATAATAATAATCATTTGTTATACTTAAATTATCATGAAGCAAGTTGGGCCAAAACGAACATTTATATAAAAAGCCTGAATTTTGAAAATCTCATATCATATATTCATTTAGATATTATTTTTTTTATTTGATTAGTGAATCAAAAGTTCAATCGTTAGGTTTGATTAATCATTGATATAATTTTCATTTATTTTAATTCATTTTAATTTAAATTGATTAATTGGTAGGAGTTTTGGTTTGCTTGATCAATTTATTAGTTTGGATTGCTATGCTATAATTTTATGATTAGGTTGGTTAGATTATTTGATTTATTTTACACTTGTTAGAGTAGATTCATTAACCTTCATTTTGATTAATCTTTACTTGTCCATCTTTTCATTCGGTTTTTGTTGTACTAATCTGATTATGTTTTGTGGTTTTTCATTTTTATTTACCCGTTTATGTATTCATTTAATTTTTATGCTCTTTTAATCAAAATATTTGATTAAGATATCAATAAAACCTTAGTTAAATTAATTGTATTAAATTAATAATATATTTTTTTTAAAATTAATTTTGCAAACCAAGGTCCGCACAAAAGCATGTAAATCATTAAAGATAATAATTTAGCTGCAATGACTTTTCGTCATTAACAGAATTGTCTTAAACCTACACAATAAAACTTCAAATTCATAAAATAATACATTACTAACCTAAATAAAAACAGAAATAATCACCACAAATAAGATAGGATAAATATGATCAAACTAAATTCTCCAATAAATATAAACATTAAATAAGTAGAATTCTTATAACAAGAAAAAAATTTATAGCAGATGAACATAAAACAAACACTAAAATGCAGCATAATAAAAGCATGAAATTAAATACAAGGGATAATTACATGCATAGCACTTGAAACTCTACTATTTACAAAACTAAACATCTACATCTTTTTTTTTTCTATAATTATTATTTGAACAACTGAATTTATGCAGCTGAGAACTGAAGCAAAATACATCCACGCGTTTATACCCTTTCTTTTTTCTCGCCCTTTTCTGCCCTTTTTTTTTTTTAATCTTCTTTCTTTGTGTATGCTTTTCTTTCCCCTCAATGCAACCTCCTCCGCCTTCCTCTTTTTTTTTTTCTTTTTCTTTTTCTTTTTTTGATCAATCCTTTTTTTTTCTTTTTTTTTTTCTTTTTTTTGCATGCTTTTCATCCACGCTGTTTCATTTCTCTCGACGCAAAGTCAAATAGAAAACAATAAATAAATACAGAATAAAAGAGGAGAAGAAAAACACAACTAGTCATGGTTTTCTAATGCCAGCCATGTCTCAAAAATCAACAACATTTGAATAATAATAATAGAAAGTAAAATGGCACATCAAAAACATGCTAAAGTGCTCCGTTATTCGAGTGAGAATTATAATAATATCTACAATATCTTGCAAGAATTTTCATATTTCCCCATTAAAACTTCCATTATCTGAAGGCGAGAAACTATAAAGTATAAACACATCCGCTGTGCTGTATCCCCACTTGATTTTCAAGCAAAAGCATGGCAGGAGGCCCGAACATCATAAGCTGGGAGAGTTTTAAGTTCAAAATTCCTGAACACGAAAGGTACTCTATAAGCAAATAATACAAGCAATGACAGAGAATCAAACATCTTTTAAGCAAAATTTTTTAGAATGAAATTACATGTTTTTATCATGGAGTATTTTAAATATTTATCACCACAAAAACAAAAAAAGAAAAAAATTCCATCATAGTTTGTGACTGTAAAACTTTCTGGCATCCAACTGAATTTAACAGAAGGAATTACAGCATACGAGGTAAAGAAAGAGATTTGTATATGGAAGGATTGAAGCACACAAAATAGAGTTCCCGTATGTTTGGGTCGATATACTGCACAGAAAAAAAAAAAAAAAGGTACAAAACAAAAAAAATGTCAAGTCAGTCATCAATACGAAAACATGCCATACCTATTACTGAATTTAATGAAATAAATATATTGCTTCAAAAAAATAATGTCCTCTTTCGTATGCTGAAGCAAACCATAGCCTGGATACCCTTGTGCCCATCCATGGCAAAGCCTTGCAACGCCCTATATGCGCGCCTTCGCTGCAACTTCATTTTCTCTATGAGCATCCCCATGCACTTCTTGCATGTATCCAGGGCATGCAGTCGCACATTTAGCTTATGAATGTTGTAGATTCTTCTAGAGCAGTCAAGGTTCCCCTCTCACTTTACTTCTTGACCTTCGCTCTCCTCCACGAACGACATTCTCTTTTTCCGGTTCAACATCCATTTATAATGTGCCTTAACCCTTTGCTCAAACCTCCTGGTCATTTGCTAATGTCATGGTCGAGTTGTTGGGTCCAACGCCCCTATAACCCTCCCTACCCTTTCATCAACTTGAACTATCATGTGCCTAAAAAAGCCTCCCTTTTCCAATACAAACCCATGCTTGTTTTCACCATATAAAGATTGTTAACTTCCTAAATCATTCGCTGTCAAAAATGTTGGAAAAGTTATCTTTGGACGCAACATGGATATCATTAAAATTCATGTACATTTTGCAAGTGATTAAAGAATTTGCAATCAGTCTCTTTGATAAGTGTCATGTTATAATCAGATTTCCTTTGAAGTCAGAATACACCAAGCCTTTTTCTCAACACATATTATATCAACGACATCCAACTAGGATGTTGAAGGGCACTCCCCATTTTGAATCCTCCGAGGAACCATCTAGCACCCTGGTTTGGATGGTGGTGGCTTTCCCTA